AGTATAGGAATCTTTAGAAGTGGTACATACCTCTTCCGGTGGTTCCTCGTGTGCCATGAGGCAAAGGTTGGCGCTTTCATTTTCTTCGCCTTCCGATGACTCGTCGCCGGAATCACCTCCCCATGAGATGTAGGCTCGGTGTTTCTTGAACATTTTCTTCTTGTTCTTGGCGTTTGGACATTTTGGCTTTATATGCCCAACTTCTCCACACCCATAGCATTTGGGTGGACCTCCTTGCTTCTTTCCTTTCCATTCATACTCTTGGTTCATGAACTTATGGAATTTCTTGAGCACGACCCCAAACTCGTCTTCGTCACTCGAGTCCTCCATAGCATGTTCTTGGCTTGTAGATGCATTGAGGGCAATCCCATTCTTCTTTTGTTCACCTAGAGAGGGATAAAGAATGGTAGACTCATAGGTTTTGAGATTACCTCTAAGTCCGTCAATGGTGACGTTGGTGATGCCGATGGATTCTTGAATGGCATCAGCTTTGGATCGCCACTCCGGTGTGAGACTTCGCATGATTTTTCTCACAAGCTCCTTGTCAGTGTACGTCTTCTTGAGAGCATGGAGATCATTAACGATTTTGGACAATCGTTCAAACATCTCATCGATTTTCTCATTCTCCTTCATACGAAACAATTCATATTCATGGGTTAGAAAATCTATCTTAGCTTCTCGGACTTGATTTGTACCTTCATATGTGATTTCGAGCTTGTCCCACATATCCTTAGCGGTCGAACAACATGAAATTTTCCGGTAGTCGTCCGGATTTACTGCACAGTAAAGAATGTTGATAGCCTTGGCGTTGTTCTCTATTTTCTTGATATCCTGCGCATCGTATTCGTCTTCGGTTTTGGGAACGGTGGTTTCCCCAACTTTCTTCATGGGCACTTCTTCCCCATTCTTGATAATTCTCCATAGGAGAAAGTTGTTGGCTTGGATGAAAATTCTCATCCGCTCCTTCCAATATGTGTAATTTGTTCCATCAAATAATGGAGGCCTCGTGGTGGATTGCCCTTCTCCTAAACCTGCGTATAAGTTTTGAGTAGAAGCCATTGATCGTTTCTCTCAAACGGTTAAGTCTTACAGAGAGTAAGGCTCTGATACCAATTGTTAGAATAAAGGCCCAACGCTAGAGGGGGGGTGAATAGCGTTTAAAACAAAATCGCAGGAAATTAAAAACGAGAGTGTAAAAGTAAAGAGCGCAAGGAAGGAGCACACCGAATTTTATCCTGGTTCACCACAACGTGTGGCTAATCCAGCCTCCCGAGAGACTCTCTCGAGCTACACTAACTCCGTTAAGCTTAAGGGTGCTTAACAAACCGATACAACTTGAGAACCCGAGTCACACGAGCCTCAACACCTTTGCTTGGAGATACGCTCAAGAACACGACAATTTCTTCAAGAATAGGCTCTCAAATAGCTAAGAAAAATAGGAATGATTATGCAATGAAAGAGTATTGAAAATGTTGAAGAATTGTGTTTAGAATGAGAGGATTTGGGTGCCATTTTATAGCCCAAAATGGATAAAACCGTTGCTAAATTTTCCAACAGGGTGAAGACAAATTTTTCATAGTTGCAGGGTGATAATCGATTGTCTAGACATGATAATCGATTATTAAAAGATTCCCTGTCCAAAAGTTTAAAAATCTATCCGTTGGAGGACAACGGTAACCCAGATAATCGATTGTCTACAAGTGATAATCGATTATTGGTCCTCTCAGAAGATTCTGGGTTTTTGGCTGCAAAGACTGATAATCGATTATTGCATAAGTGATAATCGAATATTGAGTGCTTCAGAACTTTGGGAGTTCAAAGCTGCAGGGGCTGATAGTCGATTGTCACTAAGGTGATAATCGATTATCACCCAGCTAAAGTCTAGCCAGCTGAAACCCGTTTTGAAAAGCCGAGGTCCAAAAAAGAAATGTTCCCAAAAGAAAAAACCAAGTTTGAAAAACATTGTATATGGTATAAAATAGTGAAAACAAGACTTGTTCGGTAGAAACCAAGTCTCCAAGGTCGTACATCACGTGCGTACGGTTTTGACCGTTTTTCACGAGTTAGACCGATTGACCAAGATACAAAAGTGGTTTTTATGAAATAATTATTTGGGAACCTTTTAAATATGCTCAGATATAAAAACGAGGTTTAAAACATTGAAAACCACCGAGTTGGTTCGGGCGCCAAAAACCGAACGCTGAACACCGTACGCCGACTTAGGTGATTTTGGTTCTGAGCAAGGACCAGGGATTTTAACAATTAAAAGATTTATCTAAAATGTTTATTTTGATGCATAAAAACATTTTATGATATTGTAAAATAATTTTGACTCTTTGAGAACCGAGACTTGAATTGATTGTCGGTTTTGATCACAAGAGACCGACTCGACTAAGTCTTCAATTCTTGATCTTGTCTTTGAGTCTTTTTGGTCTTGTTCCATGCCATTCTTCACGCCTTGAGTTATTCAGTGAAACTCTTCATATCCACGGCGGTTTGGCAATTATCAAAACCTGTCAGAAATGAACACGACTTTAGTTAAACATACAAAGTGTGTTCCAACAGACCACTCTGATCAACGTTCCTCTTGGATTGAGTGCGGCCGTGGGGTCCACTCCAATCATCACCTTTGTTGGATCGAGCGCGACTATAGAGTCCGCTCTGGTCACCTCAGTTAATGGACCAACCGCGAATACGGCCGCAATGGTCACCCCACTCGCACCGAATATGGCTTCGGCCATACCGCTCATTCCTTCACTTGGACCGAACACGGGTGTCTTCACATCTGCATCGGTCGGACATCCTACTATCACTGTAAACTCTGTCAAAGAGCCGGAAAAGTTCACAGGTGTTGGCTTTAAAATATGGCAGCAAAGGATGTTATTTTGGCTGACCACCCTCAACCTTGCGAGGTACTTGAGGAGGATCCCCCTGTTATGGGGGAGAACGCGGACGAGCCAACAGTTCCGGCCAAGGAGGCAAGGATAGCGAATAACTATACGTTCCTTAACCTTATCCTAAATTGTTTGAGCGATGCCTTATATGCTGTTTATAGAAGGGCTGCATCCGCAAAGGAGTTATGGACTACACTGTCAAACAAATACTAGGCCGAGGACAGCGGTGCGAAGAAATTCGTTGTCGGTAAAGTTTTGGATTTGGGAGAAAGAGCAAAGTAGGACTAAAAAATTGAAAATATATCAAAATAGGACTTCCATGTTTTTATTCCCGAAATAGGACTTACATTACCATACATGGTCATCATATACATTTCCAAAAAAGTATAGTAATTTGCACATGTACACTGCCACATTACAACATGGCAAAGTCACATTACCACACTGCAAAGTCCTATTTCAGGAAAAAAAATAAAAGTCTTATTTTGGTACTTTTCTCTAGGTTTTAGTCTTATATAGGGTGATTTCTATTTGGATTATAAGATGGTGGATTCCAAACCCGTGGTCAGTCAAGCTGAAGAATTGGTCCTCAAGTGCACTAACGAGGGAATGGGAATCAGTGAGGCATTCCAAGTCGCGGCGATTATTCATGTGCTCCCGCCGTCTTGGGATGCGTTCTGGAGCTATCTCAAGCTCAAACGGAAAGAGATGACTTTAGAACAATTGCTTGTTCGTCTCTAGATCCGTGAGGAGGGTCTCACTCGCGAGAAGAAAGTAGTGTTGGAATGCATGAGTTGAATCCTTTGTGTTGTTAAGTGTTGACTCATAGGTTTTGATAATTGACAAACACAATTTATTCAAGTCAAGATCAAAGTGCTACATCGACAAACACGAAGACTTGAAGAGCCATTCCTTGAAGTTTTCGAGAAGGTGCACAAGATTTTATTGGAATCCAAGACGCGTTCGGAGCGCCTAACAGACGACTCGGAGGAGTAGAAGATTTCTGAAGACTTTTTATTTATTTGAGTCTTAGGAATTATTGTAAGGATGACAGAAATAATCTTCTCTCCAAAAATAATTTCATGAGAATTAAAATAAAAATTATATTTATTTTCCAAGGCAGTTGAAAAATCATTTAACTGTTCAAAATACTTTTATTGAGTCAGTTTCAAAAGAAGTGTCAAACATTTATCAAAATATTTATTTTGATATTCGAAAATATTTTTGGAAAGAAAAAATATTTTATTCAAATATTTTCGTGTTCATCGTTTGACACACAAAATAATTTTGGGACTAAATTTCTTCTCTCCAAATATCTTTCTTTTATTCAAAATAAATTTTGAATATTAGTTGAGGTGATGGGGAGCCTTCCCCTGAAATTTTTGTTAGAAACAAACCTATAAACTCCATTTTATCCTTCCATCTCGCCCACATGCTTGTGTTCTTCATGTCTGGGCATTATTGTTGCAATAATCGATTATTACCTCTGGAATTAATCGATTATCTCGTTCAGACTGAACTAAACGATTAATAACTTTGGCTTTAATCGATTATCACTTTTCCACGCAGAAGGAATTTTGCTCAGGCAGATTTAATCAATTTTTTCAGCTGCCTTAAGCGATTATGATGATGCATTAATTTATTATTATGATGCATATTTTATCACAGCTTTTCTTGGACCAACGGATATATTTCTTCACCTCCTATTTAAACACCCTTCCTTGGTTATTTTTTAACAACAAGAAACACTCCAATACTCCCCATTCTTGAGGTGTTAATCCTCCATCAATCATTCCTCAAATTTATATTATTTTGAGAGGAAACTTTTTTTAAGAGAGGTTTCTTGTCATCCATTAGAGCTAAACATTATCTCATTCCTACTCTTTTGAGAGCTATTGTTGAGAGGTTGAAGAAGAGTATTCTTCTTGGTGTACAAGACTTATGTGACTTAAGTCTTGGGTGTAAAGTCTTGTAGAGGGCATATCTACGAGCGGTTGTGTCGAGGCTTGTGGGATTCAAGTTCTCGAGTTGTAAACGATTTGTTAAGCACCCGTAAGCTTAATGGAAGTAGTGGTAGCTTCGAGAGAGTCTCTCGGGGAACTGGACTGGCCACGAGGTGGTGAACCAGTATACATCGGTGTGTTCTTTGCCTTCTCTCTTTTATTTTCACTGCACTTACATTTATTTTACTACCTCCGTCCCACTCTTTTTGTCCAATTTTGACTTTTGGAACTGTTCATCTAAGCACTTTGACTCATCAAATTCTCTCAATGTGGAAGTCTAAAAATAGTCATGTGTGATCTTGTTTAATTTGTCTTAACATATAGATTATTAATATATAATTTTTATAATTTTTTAATATATAAATTACAAGATAAAATGGATTAAAGAAGTGCATTGGATGGTGTGCAAAAATGAAAGTGGACAAAAAGAGTGGGATGGAGGGAGTATTAATCTTGCGAAAATCGGTAAACATTCTCAACAACTCTATTCACCTGCCTATAGAGTTGCAAGCCTTGTCTAAGAATTGGTAACGAAGCAGGTATCTCTCACGCTCGTTTGACATTTGAGAAAACGATCAAAATTTTTTGAGAATGTTGAACGCAGGGATTAAAGAAGGGCAATCAACCGTAAGGCCACCATTTTTTGATGGAGAAATTACGCATAGTGTAACACCCCAACCCGCGTGACCCGAATACAAGGACCAGCGGATCGGGTTGCTACTAAATTGGCATTCATTCACAATAATTTCCAAAACAATTTAAAACATTTAATTCAAAACAATATTTAAACATCCATCAGAGTTAACAAAACGGAGCGGAAGCCTCTAAGTACTTAATCAAAATACATCTCTAGGTTCTTGCCCTTAAAAATATAATAATTCAAACTTAAATATTATATTAGATAACTCCTCCAGCTAGCAACCATCCATCTCTTCGCCCTCGCTGCCTCCAAGACCGTCTCATTATTCATCGTTCCTATTACCTACGTGTAGCAAATAGGAAAAAAGGGCTACACGCTCAACATTGAAGCTGAGTGGAAACTATCTAACGTTTGACTACGCACATAGACGAACCCACTAGCTCATAATTCCATACAATATCATGCACACAAGTACAACATCAATAACATCATTAATATCATGTAATTCATCAATTAAGCATAATTATCATAATTACCAAACTAATCTCATAATCCACTTCTTTATTTCTAGGCTCATAACCTATCCTAGGCTAAGGCCAACTACTTTATTCTAGAGTCCTGATTCAACCACATCCATGGAAGAACCCGCTCGATACGACGTCATCCAACGTCGGCTGGGTGGGACCACCTACTCACATCCATGAGCAGATCTACGACCCCCGTGCGCACGCTCTACCCAACTGATCATGCGTGCACGCCGGCTCAACACATGACCAGTTATTCCTAACTGTATCCTTATTCTGTTTCCTCGGTCTACCTATAGTTCAGCTAGGTAGCCTATCCGTATTCAAATTCACAATTTCATATTTCCAAATTAATACAAGAGTACAATATGTTAAATAACATTCATAGTCAACAAATAGCGGCCTAGTGTCGGGTGTAAACACCTTCCACTTACCGTCATGCGACATATAAAGGCTCAGAGTCAATTCGGGTTCTAAATTGGGTCAAACAGTCAAACAACAGAGATTTGCAGCTGTCGGTACGGTACTCGTCACGTACCTCGGCACCGTCTGGCGGTACCTGGGTACCGTCAGTACGGTACCGTCCTACCGTCGGGCTTCAGATACCGATAGCAACGTTTTGGCCGGAGGCGGTAGCTGGGTACCGTTAGGCGGTACCAGGCTACCGTCTGGCGTCGGGAATTTCCTAAGACAACTTAGTTCGATCCAATTCCAAATCATTCATTACGTATTATGTTTTTTTAAAGATTATTATCATGCAAATCACACCAATTGAAAATAAGAAGGCATACCTGGTCGTCCTCGTTCAATCAATTTCAACAATAACATATAACATAGATAGATCACAATTTAATTATAAACAAATAAACCACGTAATCAATCATACAAAACTACGAACGTGAATTTCAAATCTATATACGAAATCTAGCGTTAGATGTGCAAGTTCTGACCTCAATTAATTGGCAAATTAAACAAAACAAGAATCAGTTGGTCGGGCTGTTTCCGGCGATCCCAATGGCAGCGGCGACACAGGACGATGGCGGCGGTGTCGAGCTCCTTCCTTCCGACTCTGGTCTGCGGCTGTTTTACGGGCGACCACGATCGACGGCAGTGCGACCACGGCTGACCTTCCCCTGTCCGAAGATCCCGGGGCGGACAGCGGCTGACAGCGAACTTCTTCCCGGCGAGGCGTCTAATCGCGAGTTTGAGCAATTGGACGAAACACTGATTCGGCTATGAAGGGAAGTAGGGTATATCATCTATGTATATGTATATGCGCTGTGTTGAATTCCTAAATGGATTTGGAATTATTGTTACGTATAACACACACCATATGTAATTATTATTATTTTATATTATAAAATCTTTATATTTCTTTATTGAACTGTAATGTCTATTTTACTCATCACGCTTTATATGTATATCCAACTATAACGAACTTTATACCGTTGGTCATCATTTTACGAGATCTATTCGAAAACCTAATTTTTATTTAAAACGGACCACTTTATAAGTAATTTATATTTAGAGTAAATAAATATTATATTTATTTTTATTAAAATAACAGCTAACTACTAAGCCGGTTTTTGGGTCGTTACACATATTGGAAGGAGCGAATGAGGATTTTTGTTCAATCAAACGACTTCAAAATTTGGCTTGCTATCAAGAATGGAGATAGCTTGTCGATGAAGAATATAGACAATACACTCATCCCAAAGGACGAGAATGAATATGATGAAGCTGATTTTAAGAAGGCTCAATTGAATGCCACCGCCATCAACTTCTTGTATTGTGCTGTCAACGCCAATGATTTTCAAAAGATATCTCATTGCCAAACTGCCAACCAAATGTGGAACAAGCTCATGATCACATACGAAGGTACGCCTCAAGTTCGTGAATCAAAAATTGATTTACTAACCCATGAATATGAGTTATTTGCTATGAAAGAGAACAAACTTGTGGAGGACATGTTTGGAAGATTTTCAAACATCGTCAACGACCTTGATATGCTTGGAAAGACGCTCACCGACAAGGAGTTAGTGAGGAAAATCCTGCGAAGTCTTACCATGGAATGGGAGTCAAAGGTAAACTCCATATATGAAGGCCGAGATTACCTTATCACTTAGGAAACAAATCATCTTTCTCATACTCTTGACGTTAAGAAGAGAACGGGAATTGCTTTTGAAGCATCTTCTTCTCAAAAAGTAGAGATTGGTGATTCAGATTTGGATAGTGATAGTGATAGTGATTCTAGCACTTCTTGTGATATTTTGGTTGAATGTTTTAACGAGTTTATGAAACATGAGCTTAATAAGAGCAAGAAGAAAAACACCCCAAACTGTCACAAGTGCGGAAAGCTTGGCCACCGAAAATTTGAGTGCCCGAAGCTCAATTGATGAATTTGCGTATTTTTCATGGAATTATGATCAACCTTCTAAAGACGATTGCCTAAACGGTCTTGAAGAACAAGATGGGTGGTCGGGTACGTAAAGCACTTGAAAGGTGTGCTTGAAGACTACAAATTTGTAGTGGATGCTCCAAGCACTTAACTAAAGAGATTGCATCAAAGGGGAGTAAATACTATTTTTCAAATTAAATGTTATCTTTGAGATTTATTTGTGATAATTGTTATTTGGGGAATTTACATAGGATGTTTTGCATAGAGTAAGGAGGAATTATTGATGTGATAATCTCTTTGTATGCTTTATTTTTTTAAAAGGGGAGATAACATACTTTAAGGGGGAAGTATTTTATTTCCTAGAAATGCATGATTTTAGGGGAATATGATTTGTCTTAATTGTTTAGAAATTTTTTCTCTCTCCTCGGAATGCATGAGTTCTTTTGTTGCATTATTTTTTATAATGCCAAAAGGGGGAAGAGTAGAGGAGTATATGCTTTAATTTGTTATTTGTTGGGAGCATATCCTCCGTATGTTTGTCATTATCAAAAAGGGTGAAATTGTTGGAATGCATGAGTTCAACAATTTCTGTGTTGTTAAGTGTTGACTCACATGTTTTAATAATTGACAAACACAATTAATTCAAGTCAAGATCAAAGAGCTACATCGACAAACAAGAAGACTTGAAGAGCCATTTGTTTAAGTTTTCGAGAAGGTGCACAAGATTTTATTGGAATCCAAGACGCGTTCGGAGCGCCTAACAGACGACTCGGATGAGTAAAAGATTTCTGAAGACTTTTTATTTATTTGAGTCTTAGGAATTATTGTAAGGATGAAAAAAAATAATATTCTCTCCAAAAATAATTTTATGAGAATTAAAATAAAAATTATATTTATTTTCTGAGTCAGTTGAAAAATCATTTAACTGTTCAAAATACTTTTATTGAGTCATTTTCAAAAGGAGTGTCAAATATTTATCAGAATATTTATTTTGATATTAGGAAATATTTTTGGAAAGAAAAAAATATTTTATTCAAATATTTTCGTGTTCATCGTTTGACACAAAATAATTTTGGGGCTAAATTTCTTCTCTCCAAATATCTTTCTTTTATTCAAAATTAATTTTGAATATTAGTTGAGGTGATGGGGAGCCCTCCCCTGAAATTTTTGTTGCAAACAAACCTATAAACTCCATTTTATGCTTTCATCTCGCCCACATGCTTGTGTTCTTCATGTCTAGACATTATTGTTGCAATAATCGATTATTACCTCTGGAATTAATAGATTATCTCGTCTAGAATGAACTACTCGATTAATACCTTTGGCTTTAATCGATTATCACTTTCCGCGCAGAAGGAATTTTGCTCAGGTAGGTTTAATCGATTTTTTCAGCTGCATTAATCGATTATGATGATGCACTAAAGGATTATGATGATGCATTAATCAATTGTTATGATGCATATTTTATCACAACTTCTTTTATTGGACTAACGGATATATTTCTTCACCTCCTATTTAAACACCCTTTCTTTGTCATTTTTTAACAACAAGAAACACTCCAATACTCCCCATTCTTGAGGTGTTAATCGTCCATCAATCATTCCTCAAATTTATATTATTATGAGAGGAAACTATTTGTTTTTAAGAGAGGTTTCTTGTCATCCATTAGAGCTAAACATTATCTCATTCCTACTCTTTTGAGAGCTATGGTTGAGAGGTTGAAGAAGAGTGTTCTTCTTGGTGTACAAGACTTATGTGACTTAAGTCTTGGGTGTAAAGTCTTGTAGAGGGCATATCTACGAGCGGTTGTGTCGAGGCTTGTGGGATTCAAGTTCTCGAGTTGTAAATGGTTTGTTAAACACATGTAAGCTTAACAGAAGTAGTGGTAGCTTCGAGAGAGTCTCTCAGGGAACTGGACTAGCCACGAGGTGGTGAACCAGTATACATCGATGTGTTCTTTGCCTTCTTTCTTTCATTTCCGCTGCACTTACATTTATTTTATTAATCCTGCGAAAATCAGTAAACATTCTCAACAACTCTATTCACCCCCCCCCCCTCTAGAGTTGCAAGCCTTGTCTAAGAAGTTGTTGCTGTTAAGGCCAATGTGGTGGAGCATCCACCCAAAGAGGGTTCTTCCAAAAGGCCCAAGCCAAATAAGGACAAGAAGAAAATTGGTACTAAAGGAGGTGCAAAGACTAAGTTCGTGGGGAAATGCTACAACTATGGCATTACGGGTCACCGTTCTTCAGAGTGCCGCAAGAAGCCTCAGAAGAAGAAGCAGAAGAAGGAAGAAGCTCTCTAGAGATCTTTGTGCGGAGCTAGATGCTATGGATCTTTGAGCGGGTGTAATAGAGATCGACTTGGTTGGGTCTAACCCAAAGGAGTGGTGGGTTGATACTTGAGCCACTCGTCCTATCTGCTCCAACCGAGCCATGCTCTTTGACTTTAAGGATGGACAGTTCCGCCCAACACGAGATTCAAGGCGTGGGCAAAGTTAAGCTCAAGATGACATCCTACAAGGAGCTCACGCTGAATGATGTGTTGTATGTGCCAGACATACGGAAAAACTTGGTGTCAGGCTCACTATTGAACAAAAATGGATTTCGCATGGTGTTCGAGTCTGATAAGCTAATCTTGAGCAAAAAGGGAATATTCATAGGCAAAGGTTATATTTCTGATGGGCTTTTTAAACTTAATATACTCACTGTTGTTGAGAAGATTAATAAAACTCATGTTGCCTATGTTTGCGAGTCTTCCAATGTGTGTCATGGAAGACTAGGACATGTTAATTATGCATCTATTCGGGATTTAATTAACATGGAATATATTTTCAAAGTTTGACATCGACCTGTCCCACAAATGTGGGATGTGTGTCGAAGCAAAGTCAACATGAAGTTCGTTTCAAACAATTGAACAAACCATTCAGCCACTAGATTTAATTCACACGGATCTGTGTGATTTTAAAGCAACGCCTTTAAGATGTAGTAACAAATATGTTATCACTTTTATCGATGATAGCACGAAGTACTGCTATATTTATTTACTTAAAAGTAAAGATGAGGCATTGGACACTTTCGTTCGGTATACGAATGAAGTAGAAAATAAACTCAATCGTAAAATTAAAGCGATTAGGAGTGATAGGGGCAGGGAGTACAAAGCTCCAATCTCTGAATTGTGTGCACAACATGGAATTGTGCATCAAGTAACTCCGCTTTACACACCCCAATCAATTCAAACAGTGTGGCGGAACGTAAAAATTGCACTATCAAAGATATGATGAATGCGATGTTGCTCACTTCGAGGCTACCCCAAAATATGTGGGGGGAGGCTATTTTATCTAGCAATTATTTGTTAAATAAAATACCCCAAAAGAAACTCGATAAGACTTCTTACGAGTTGTGGTATAATAGGAAACCTTCCTATAGATAAGTCATTTTGAAATATTAATAAATGGTGATGGGCGATTTTGTATATAATCTAGTCAAAATGATGAAACGAAAAAAAAGCTTAAAAATAAGAATGTAAGACCCACTTATTTTTGGTAGATAGACCAAATTAGGACTAAAACATTGAAAAAATACCAAAATAGGATTTCCATTTTTTATTCCCAAAATAGGACTTACATTACCAAACATGGTCATATACATTGCCAAAAAAGTATAGTAATGTGCACATGTACACTACCACATTATAGAGCAAACTCACATTACCACAGTGCAAAGTCCTATTTGAAGAAAAACAAACATGAAAGTCCTATTTTGATAGTTTTCTCTATGTTTTAATCCTATTTAGGGTGATTTCTACTTATTTTTTGACTTGATTATAAGGAGCTTATAAGTTA